ACTGTTACCAAGGAACCGGCGTTAGGAATGTGCCTAGTCATGACCGGCCCAACAACGAGGTCAAGAAGCCGTGCGCACACGCTAGTCAAGTTATAAAAGCAACTCCCATGGACTGACATTTTGAGCCCTGAGGACGTCAGCAGATGGCTGACGAAAGCTAGGCGTTTTAATTGGTTTTATTAGTAGTTTTAGTAATTTTTATATATATATATATATATATATATATATATATATATATATATATATATATATATATATATATATATATATATATATATATATATATATATATATATATATATATATATATATATATATATATATATATATATATATATATATATATATATATATATAGCTACAATTTCTTTAAAGTCCATAGTTTTTATTTCTCTTTTGTTCTACCATAATAATTTTTGTTTTATTAATATGATAGATGTGATAGATGTCACATTAAAAATGAAATTTAGGCATTTAGAATTTTTAATAAATTATGAAGAATGTTAACATTTTTATTTCAATTGAGCAATAAAATTAAAATTAATTTTGACTTTATCAAATGCAATTCCAAATTAAATATTTTTATATAAATAGTACAGTAAGAAGCAAGTTCTACTGCAGCTATATCTGTCACTATATTTTTCAATTTTCATGGCATTTTCTTTATATATATATAAAATGCTTTATGTACTTTAATGGGTAGTTTGAACAGAAGTCTTAACCAATCCTATTTGATCTTTCTCATTTAATTATGAAGACTTCTTTTAAAATGTTTGATTTGGGATTTAACCTATTCTTAAAATGTGTGAATTGGGTTTTACCTACATTTTTAGTAGAACTTTAGTAACTATAGAGTGCAATATTCTGCTGGTGTGGAAAGCAGCCGCACAAGATGCATTGGGTACTCAAAGAAGGACACATGAAACACCTCTGCTCCATGAACTGCATTGGCTGCCAGTTTGATTCTGGGTCCAATGCAAGGTAATGGTTGTGACTTACAAAGCCCTATATGCAAATGGGACTAGGCTACCTGCATAATCACCTTCGCTCCATTACATTGGTCCATCCCACCTGGTCCAGCAGGGAAGGAATGCTGCAGATCCCACCAGTTAAAGAATTCTGACTCCAAGTATCTAGAACAGTGGTTCTCAACCTGTGGGTTGGGACCCCATTTGGGGTCAATCGACCATTTCATGGGGGTCGCCAAGCAAGGCTGTCCGCCATTTTTTTTGTCCGCCATTTTTTCCCCCTTTTCTGGCGGGTGCCTCGGCCGGCACAGGGGGGAGGAACCACGCATGCGCGGCGCTCCCGGACAGGGAAAGTCCTCGACTTACGACCGGTTGGGTAGTCCTCGACTTACGACTGGTTTAGTCCTCGACTTACGACCGGTTTAGTCCTCGATTTATGACCGGTTGGGGTCGCGGCATTAAAAAGGTTGAGAACCACTGATCTAGAAAGAGAACCTTCTCTGCCATTTCCCCACCCTGTGGAATATTCTTCCTGTGGAGGCTGGCCCCCACTTTCCTGGCTTCCAAAAAAGTTAAACATGCCTCTGAGGCCTTGTATGGGGAGCCCACAAGAGCATGCAGCATGAAGCTGGCCAATGCCCTGAGAGCACTCCATTTGCCTTTCAAATTGATTTTTTAATAGGACTTAATTTTTTTTTTTGCTTATATATTATTTTTATATTCTGGCATTCTATTGTACACCACACAGAGAAGGGAGAAGAATTCAAATATGCAAAAAATAGAAATATCTTGGTGCTAATATTCTCTTTTTTTAAAGTAAAGATCCATCCAATTAAGTGAAATAATGCTGTCATTTCACCAAATCATATTTTAAAGGGAAGAAATGAATCTAAAAGAAGGGTGTGTAATAGTAGTATAGAAAATATATACAATGCATTCAAAGTGAAACAGAATTTTAGAAATGTCTGTAAATTTATTAAAAAGAAAAAATTGAAATATCACTTTGGCATATGTATTCAGACCCTTCATTCAGTACGTTAAAGCAACTTTGGCAGCAATTACAGCCTTGAGTCTTTTGGGGCGTGATGCAACAAGCTTTGCACACCTGGACTGGGGGATTTTCTGCCATTCTTCCTTGCAAATCCTCTCAAGCTAAGTCACGTTGGATGGCGACCATTGGTGGTCAGCCATTTTCAGGTCCCTCCAGAGATTTCAATAGGGTTCAAGTTAGGGATCTGGCTGGGCTATTTTAGGACAGTCACAGAATTGTCCCTAAGCCACTCCTGTGTTGTCTTGGCTGTGTGGTTAGGATCGTTGTCATTTTGGAAAATGAACCTTCTGTCCAGTCTGAGGTCCTGAGCACTGTCAAACAGGTTTTCATTGAGGATATCCTGAACTTTGCTCCATTCCTGACCAGCTTTCCCTCAATCCTAACCAGTCTCCCAAGTCTCTGCTGCTGAAAAACACCCTCATGGCATGATGCTGCCACCACCATGTTTCACTATTGGGATGATATTGGGCAGTTGATGAGCCGTGCCTGGTTTCCTCCAGACATAACGTTTAAAATTGAGGCCAGAAAGTTCAATTTTGGTTTCAACAGACCAGAGAACCTTGTTCCTCACAGTCTGAGAGTCCTTTAGATGCTTTTTGCAAGCTCCATGTGTTTTGCACTGTAGAGAGGCTTCTCTCTAGTCCACTCAGATTGGTGGAGGGCTGCAGTGATGGTTGTCCTTCTGGACTCTGTCCCATCTCCACACAGGATCGCTGGAGCTCAGTCAGAGTGACCACTGGTTTCTTGGTCACATCTCTCCTACTAAGCCCCTTCTCCCCCGATTGCTCGATTTGACCAGGCAACCAGCTCTTGGAAGAATCTTGGTTGTGCCAAACTTCTTCCATTTGAGAATTACGGAGGCCACTGTGCTCTTAAGAACCTTCACTGCAGCAGAAATTTTATTGTAGCCTTCGCCAGATCTGTGCCTTGCAATAATCCTTTCTCTGAGCTCTGCAGGCAGTTCCTTTGACCTCATGGCTTTTGCTCTGCTACAGTATGCATTGTCAGCTGTGAGACCTTCTACAGAGAGGTGTGTGCCTTTCCAAATCATGTCCAATCAATTTAATTTACTACAGGTTGATTCTAATCAAGGTGTAGAAACATGTCAGCCATGATCAAGAGAAATGGGAGGCATCTGAACTAAATTTCAAGTGTTGCAAAGAGTCTGAATACTTAAGCCAATGTGATATTTCAGTTTTTTTCTTTTTAATAAATTTACAGACATTTCTAAACTTCTGTTTTCATTTTGTCATGGGGTATTGAGTGTAGATTAATGAGGAAAAAATGAATTTCAACAACTATAGAATCAGGCTGCAACATAACAAAATTGACAAAAGTCTGAATACTTTCTGAATGCACTGTATAACAATGGTAAAATGTATTGACATAAATCTTTATTTTTAGGGGAGGTTCTAGTTCTTGGCTGCTGTTCTTAAATGAAAGGGGAAAGATAGAAACTGCACAAGTTAGGAGAAACTAAAAGAAGCTAACATTAACAAACTATAATCTAGGAACAGATTAAGAAATAAGTCAAATATAGTATTAAGAAGGAAAGTTATAATAATTATTATAAAAGGAGACCTTGGTGACATCTGTTCACAAATTTTGAGGCATGACAATAATACGTGATAGATGAAAATATTGCAACTTTAATGAAAAGATACACTTTTGAATTGGGATAAGTTAAAACAAAAAGAACTCAGATCAAATGAAGATAAATCAAGACATGACAGGAAAGTATGGTTCAGTTCTGCACATGTTACAAAAGTAAATCCACTCAGTTCAATGTAATGTTACTTGGGTTAGTCTTTCTAGGATTTCAGACTGAAAAGTCAGTAATTAAAATTTAATGTAAAACACTAGCTGATCACATTGGAAAAAAGGAAAGAACTGATCAAACTAATTGAAGAAGCTAAAATTAAACAAGTAGAAAAGTTGATATAATAGGTATGGTAAGGTACAAGAAGATAAAAATCAGTAAAATAATTTCAACATGGAAGAATGATAATTTGAATACTGATTTAGGTAGAAACTGTAAGGATGAATTTTTGAAATATTGTAGAAAACTGTCATATATATAAGCTCAAGCAGTAATGTGAACAAATAAAGAGAAGAGTAAAAAAAGTAGTTCTCTTCCTGAAAGAATAACATTGGTGACAAATATCTCAAACTATAAGTACTATTTTCTACAGACTGTTTTAAAAATCCATCTTGGAGAGGAGATGGGTGGCAGAAAAAAATTGGTTTTTTTTTTTCTTTTTACAACCTTGTAATTCCTTAATTCAGGGTTGAGTTGGGGCGACTGAATGGAGCTGAGTGTTTACTGGCTGGGTGCCCTTCCTGATGCCTACATGGAGTTCACAGTAAATATTTTCTCTTTGTGTACTGATAGAGAAACATCAGTCGCTTCCTAGGATTGAACTCTCAACCTTCTGAGTGGGAGGCAAGCGTCTTCACCTCTAGGTCACCAGGCAGCTTGGCATAAAAATGTGATAAATAAAAATAAATAAATAAATAAATAAATAAAATATAAACGTATATGCACTGTAATTAAAAGTAGGAAGCAAAAAGTGATACACCCATTCATTAAATGACTGATTACAGTTACAGCAGTACTGAAAAAAGTGATTTAGGACTGGTGCTCACATGACTGCAATATTCCCATGGACACATGATCAAAATACAGGTGCTTGGCAAACTGGCTCGTATTTACAACGGTTACAGCATCCTAGGGTCAGCTTCTGATAAGCAAAATCAATGGAGGAAGTTGGATTAACTGCATGATTCATTTAACAACTGCAGAGGTTCGCTTATCAAGTAGTCAATGGGAAAGCCAGATTCACCTAATAACTGTGTTCCTATCTTAACAACTTGCTTAGCAACAGAAATTAAGGTTACAATTGTAGTTGTAAATTGAGGACTTATAGGTATATGGTTCCAAAAACAGTGAAATTTTGAGAAGACGGTTATATTGGGCCCTATTATATAGAAAATCATTAAAACCTATTTTAATCTAATCCTCTTCTGTTGGCATTCTAGTATCTACCGTAATTGTTTTAGATATGTAACAATGATTCAAAAAGATCATTGGCAAATAGGAGTTTGTATCTGAGGAGAATTGTAATTTATGCAGGTGAGAAAGGTAAAGTGTTTGGAATGATTATGTTGCATTTAATTCAGATATGCTGTATTAAGATGCACCTTTTCTCTTTTGCAGGTAGACTCTTTCAGGGAGAGAATCACAGGTGAAGTAAGTACCTGATTTCTGCTTGCAATTTCAACTAATGTTTAGTGGTTTCAGGCAGTTACATTTGCTTCTGGTTCTCATAAAAGAGACTTTCCCTATAGCAGGGGTGTCAAACTGCCGGCCCATGGGCCAGATGCATCATGCCGAAACCGCACCCACCCCATTGCCAGCAATGGAAAAAAAGTTGTGATATGTCGTGACACGTCACGTGATGTTGCGAGTTTGACACCCCTGCCCTATAGTATAGTGCTTACTGACCTCATGAATTTGTAGAACTTATGTATCTTTAGAAGTAGCTCAGCTTTCAAGAAGTTTTATCTATCTGGTGCTTTCTCCTGGTCCATACCAAGGCTTAGGCTTAGCCTTCCTTTTGTGGAATCATCAGTTATATTAATGCATGCATCATAGGTGACATTCTTTCTCTTTCAGGCTGAGGATCTAGTGGCAAATTTTTTTCCAAAGAAGCTTTTAGAACTTGATGGGTTCCTTAAGGTAAGAGCTGGTAGTCTGCTTTTTCCCAGGGCGAACCTTTATTTCAGGAATGATACATTGTCAAATAAAAGTTACCCATTGTTATTAGGTTTTAATGCCATTCCTGAGCATAAATACCTTACTCTTTTGGATATTCTGTCCTAGGATCCCATTCTGAACATTCATGATCTCACACAAATCCATTCAGATATGAACCTTCCCGTTCCGGACCCAATTCTGCTGACAAACAGTCACGATGGACTGGATGGGGTAAGATTGGTCATCTGTCTGTAACATTTAGTGATTGATCAAAACAACATATTCATTATACTTGCTGATAAGTTATGGAGAGAGAACAAAGCTTTCTGACATTGGAAGCAAGTATCTGCTTTGTAGCATCTGTTTCTCGAGGTTACTCTTAAGGGAAGAGTATGTATATAATATTTCCTCTCTTTTTTTTTTTAGTCCAATATGAAAAAGCGAAAATTGGAAGACTGTGAAGAGACCTTCCAAGGTAGATTTTGTGCTGGTTAATTATTGGCTACCAATTGTGTTTTTGGAAATTCACCCTAATTGAGGCAATCACTGAGAACATAAAGTACGTAAAGCTGTCCAGAATCCTAAAAGATTGATATGGTAACAAAAAAAAATCACATATTTTATATGTGTGCCTTTTGCATCCGGACATACCATGAACAAAATGTATATTAAAAATAGCACCTTAATATATGATTAGCTCATTGGAATTTGAAATGATCCTCTGAAATGCTGTTTTTCTATCTTAAAAAAAGAAAGAGTAGGGTCTCTGTATAACTTGAACAGTCAATGATGGTAAAAATTATTTGTGTTATTTCCAAACCATTTTGTTTCTCTAAGGAAATCACTGCTGCCTTAGTTTTAATTTGAGTGTTGTTTTCAACTTCTTCTTGTCATTGTTGTAACTGAGTTTTTCCAATAAGAATACAGAGTAGAGATCCCAGAATTGGATGTAACCCAAAGACTTTTGGGTTGGAAGTTGATTACCTTATGTCCATAACCTCAATGAGAAAGATCAACATCACTTGCACTATGGAATTTAAAAATTGGATTAAAAGTGGAATGAAAAAAAAGACTTGAATTTCCATGAGAAATTGGAGTAGGTTGCTTCCCTAGAATAAATAACTAGTGTCAGACCTGCTCCCATCCTGTCCCTTAGGAAAGAAAGACCCTCAACTCCGTTAGGTTGAAGCAAAAGGTTCTTTTACTAAGGAAATTGGTTGCAGTAAAGTCAGGCTAGCGCTAAGGTTTTCCTGCATGAAAAAACACACAAAAAGTTATCTTCTCCCCTCCCCCCTGTGACCAGTCCATGTTTCGTCAGTCAGAGCTCGCCAAGATGTTATGAGAACACTGAAATGTGGGCAATTTACATTCCTTGCTTAGGGCATGGCCTTGGTATCTCTGGTACAAACCGATTCCGGGCTTCTCTGGTCTTCATTACCTGTCATTCCCCCTTCCCTATTTCCCATCAAGTACACACAGTCATATTGCTCATTTGTCCATCTCCCCTCCCTTCTCCAGCCTTTGATGGCAGGAACTGGCAGGAACCTGACAACTAGTCTCTTTCTATGGCACTAGGTACCAAAGTCTTTGTCATGCCTAATGGTATGCTGAAGAGCAACCAGCAGCTGGTGGACATCATTGAGAAAGTAAAACCAGAGATTCGGTTGCTGATTGAGAAATGCAATACAGTAAGCACTGGTTTGCCTTTTTTGCCTTATGAGATTCTGTCTTACAGGACAGTTATTAGAAATGCTGCTTTTAAGAGGGAAGGGATAAAATCAAATGCTTTTCTGAAATTGCAGTACACAAATTCAATAAATATCTTCCGCACCTTTGGGATACCTTTTGCAGAGGTATTATATTAAGGCAAAATTTGTTACAAGTAGTCTTTGACTTACAATTAATCCTTTAGTGACATTACAATGCCACAGAAAAAAGTGACTTACAACCATTTTCCACACGACTGTTGCAGCATTTCCCATGATTATGTGATCAAAACTCAAACACTTGGCAACTGGCATGTATTTATGATGGTTGCAGTGCACATGATCACCTTTTGAAATTTTTTCACAAGCAAAGTTTTAATGGGAAAGCCAGATTCACTTAATAACTCTGTTACTATCTTAACAACTGCAAGGTTTCACTTAATAACTGTTATAGGAAAGGCTGTAAAATGGGGCAAAATTCACTTAACAACTGTCTTGCTTAGCAACTGAAATTTTGGACTCAATTGTGGTTGTAAATCAAGGATTACTTGTATCTTCTATTTTTTTAAATTATATGTCATCTGTCAAACAGTTGGTTCCATATAGTGCAGAAGGTAGAGAAGCTTGGTTGTAATTGGCTGCTTCTGTGGTGTATAAAGATAATTCCTGTGTAGAGACAATTATTATTAGGATTGTTGATTGGGTGGAAGACTGATGCAGTCAGTCATGATTTGCTCTGGTGTCTGAAGGGCTGTAGCTCATCCATCAGTGTTAACCCAATGTTATAATTGATCATAAGAGTCTAAAGATCAAATGTTTGTTAAGTTATTACTTTTTATGACTATTCTGGAAAAAATGGCCTCTCAGCTAAGCAAATGTTTCATGCAGAGCTTAGCTAGCAAAATGACTATCCAGAAGGTTAGTATTTCTTTAACATGCTGTTTTGTTCTTCAGGTCAAAATGTGGGTACAGTTGCTGATTCCCAGGATAGAGGATGGAAACAACTTTGGTGTTTCTATTCAGGTAAATTGACAATTGAGGAGATAACTCTGGGAAATTATGCCTATGGATGAAGTACTATGGGTGGAACCTTCTCTTAATGGGGGAAGAACAAATCATTATTTAGAACTTGACTGACTTGTGGCATAAGGTCTCCTGCCTGAGTAGGGGGTTGGACTAGAAGACCTCCAAGATCCCTTCCAACTCTGTTATTCTGTTATTGTGCTAGAGTTTTATACTTTACTGCATTTTGATTATTTTTATTTCATTTGGCTCAGGTTACTTAAATTGGAAGTTAGAATTCATAAGCATAATGGCTGTAATCACAGATTGTCCTTGCTTACCAACTGCCTCATTCAGAAACCATTTAAAATTATGATAGTGCTGAAGAAAAATTATGTCCAATGCCCACATCAATGACATTTGTGGTGTTCTTCAATCATGTGATCACTGTTATGATTAGTATGCATTGTCCGGGGTCTGGCCTGTTGTTTTTCTTTTATTCCCCCCTTATAGAGCAAGGAATGATTAGAGAGGAAGGGAGTAAGCAGGCACAGAAGGGGGAATATATACAAAAGGAATGTGATGGGGCTGGGATGCATGAGCATGCTATGCAAACACCCCATTGTGTTTCTACCTACTCTCTTGTACTCCATCTCCAATCTCTTCACTTTATGACGGGTGAAAATGGGTCAGGCACAGAAGGATTGCCTACCAAAATTGCCTGGTTTCCCTTGCAGAGTAGAGAAATTGGAAAGGAACGGATTATAAGAAAGTTAGCAGGCACACAATGGGCAATATACTAGGCTGTTTGTGTTGTCTCGTGGCTCCCAGCCCTGGTACCACAGCATTGCTTTCAATGTCTATTTCCAGTTATGTGTTTGCTTTCTCTCTAGTAATCTGTTCCTCCAATGAATGTAACATGTAAATATAAATAATAATTCCATTCTTGCTAATTATCCCAGCAACTGGATGAACATTCCAAAGGGGAGTGGTTAAGAAACAAAAAAAAAGCCTAGGGTATGAAACTGATTAGTCTTTTCAGCTTTGAGCCAGCAAGGATTGGGGAAAAAGAAAGGAAAGCGGTCCCAATTACAGGTAATCCTCAACTTACAACCACAATTGAGTCCAAAATGTTTGTTGCTAAGTGAAACAGTTAATTGAGTTTTGCCCCATTTTAATGACCTTTCTTGCTACAGTTGTTAAATGAATCACTGCAGTTGATCAGTTAGTAACATGGTTGTTAAGTGAATCTGGCTTCTTCATTCACTTTTCTTGTCAGAATGGTGTTAAAGTGATCACATGACCCAAGACACCGCAACTGTCATAAGTACAAGCCAATTGCCAAGCCCCTGAATTTTGATTACATGACTATGAGGATTCTGCAACCGTTGTAAGTGTGAAAAATGGTTGTGAGTCACTTTTTTCATTGCTCTTGTAACTTTGAATCATCACTAAGTGAATGGCTGTAAGTAGAGGACTGCTTATAGTTGATTTTCTATTTAGCAACCATTTTACTTAACAGAGCTGCAATTGCTGCAGTTGTTGTTGCTAAACAAGGTCCTGTATTCTACCTATAAAAGCTGTCTGGATATATCCAATTATAATTGTCCTCAGTATGAAGTCTTCTCTTAATATTTTCTTGCTGGCTTCTTTCTTTACAGGAAGAGACTGTAGCTGAGCTCCGAACTGTGGAGAGTGAGGCAGCTTCATACTTGGATCAGATCTCTAGGTGAGTATCTCCTTGCGGAGCATTTCAAGTTTTTTCCCTGATGGGGTAACTCTCTAGAGTATACATTGTTGTATGTCACTTACACCATCCATTGTAGCACTTTCCCCATTTTATTTCAGATACTACATCACACGAGCAAAGCTGGTTTCTAAAATAGCAAAATATCCTCATGTGGTAAGTGTTAAGTGGAGATATTAAATTAATTACTGAATTAGATTTAGGACCATTAGGCAGATTAGAAATAATTGAAAAGATTCTAGAGCAGGTGTCTCCAATCCCTGGTCCGTGGGCCAGTACCGGGCCGCGGCATGCCAGCAACCGGTCTGTGCAAACAAGCAAAGCCCATCCACGAGATGCAGGCAGCACACAAAATCACGCACCCTCCGGTCCGTGGAAAAACCTCTCTCCACGGAACCGGTCCCTGATGCCCAAAAGGTTGGGGACCTCTGTTCTAGAGTGTGTTCTCCTTGGAAATAACATTATGAATCAGATGCCTAGACCTATATTAGATAAAAAGTGGGCAGTCCCTAGAAACCCACATAATTGTACTGCTAAATAGCTGATTATATTTTCTGGAGATTTAGAGTAAAAGTATAAGTAAAATATTATTTTAAAGTATGATAATGAGCTTTCTTAACTTGCAGCCCTTGTCACTGGACAAAAAAACCCTCTCCTCCCACTTCCCTAACTGGAAAAAGTTAACTGGTCTTACCCTAAATGCACATCCTTGCTTCAGATTCCCATTCTGGAGGTAAACTAGTCACATAAGACTATTTTCTAACTAGAATTTTATAATTTAATAACATTCCAGAAATGGTTGGTGTTCAGTTTATGAAAACCCTGAGGATGGCAGATTTTTGTACTGTTAAAACTGAGAGATGGAATGAAACTTCTTAGCTATAAGTTGTCTTACTATAGAGATGGGAAATCTGTACTGCAGCTTCCAATAGCATTAATAATGAAGGATCCTAAAAATTCCTCACTCCTGCTTATTGCATGGTAGAGACTAAATGGTTCTGATTAAATAACTGTCTCTGTAGGAAGATTACCGCCGCACAGTGACTGAAATGGATGAAAAAGAATACATCAGTCTCCGGCTCATCATTTCAGAGCTCAGAAATCAATATGTAAGTTAATGTTGTTTCTTCCCAGGTTGGAAGATAATATCCCTTCTAATAAATTAAGAGTTTCCTTTAACAAAAGTGGATAAGCTGTTTTTGACCTCCATGTGTTGCTGAATTCAACTTCTAGAACTCTTAGCTACCTTAGTCAAGTGAGGAGTATTGGAAGTTCCAAATAAATAGTATTTTTGTGCCGTTGTCTTGGATTATTTCTTTAGATGTATCATTTTGTCCAGCAGAAGCAATTATCAAGTCTCAACTTCTTGCTGAAAGAAATATAGTGATATGGTATTATTCTAAGGAATAATACTTATATAGGCAAGCTTGTAAGTAACAAATTGCATAGATACTGGAAGTCTTGAGAAAAGGGTTGAAATTATTACAGGAAAGAAGAAATAATTTTTAGTTTATAATGCAACTGTATATGCAGTTGTGATTGCTGTCCATCTGAGAATAATTGTTAATGTTGCCCAAACCATTGAAATCTCGGGAGATACAGTAAATTATATGCTGGTTAACAGATAAACCTTTGGACATCTTTTAACGAAACAAGAAACAGACAAAGAAACAAGAAGTAAAACTTATCTCTGTGTTATGTTAAAGAGATACCAGCAGATCTTTAAGCACAATCCCCATGTAATTGGCTTTGTGTCTCTATATAATTGTGCAGGGTTCTTGATTGTAGAACAGTCCCACTGCTTATTTAAGGAATCACCGTTTGATAACGTGAGACTTTCCAATCTGTTTAGATCTGCAAATACTTGTCAGAGTCAGGGGAAAAAACTAACAGCCAGATTCTCTCCTTCCAGGTGACTCTGCATGACATGATTCTAAAGAATATTGAGAAGATCAAGCGACCCCGGAGCAGCAATGCAGAGACCCTCTACTGATATGGCTGCACTCTGAACTTATGAACTCTTCAGTAGGCTCAAGACAGTCTTTGCCTCAGTTTATGTGACTATCAAGATGGGGAAGCTGGCTGGAAACAGTCCTCACCATACTTTTAGTTAAACATCTAAAGAAACTCTCTCCTAGTCCTTTTCTGGTTGGTTTTTTGTTGGATCTTTGAATTTTTCCCTTTTCCTACCATGTCTTTGAGATACAGAAGGATAGAACAGACCATCTCCTGCTATATTGGTAGGCATAGGAGATTCGCTAAGCTGTTCCAGGCAAGAATCCCAAGATCAGAAGCCCTAAACAGTCCAGGTCTAGCATCCCTGACAAACTCCTTTCTAGGTAATTTGTGCCTGCCAAGAGCACTGTCAACTTCTACCCAGAGCTGATGTTTCTGGTCATAAGCTTCACTTTAGTCTTCCCACTGAAATTTAGTTTTTCATCTCAACATGGTTTGCCCTTATCTAACTTTGTGACTTGTCCAATCATGCAAGTTCTAATGCCATTATAAATTTCTCTTTTCTACATGTATTTCTTCCATTACATTTATTTTATCATTCTGAATATGTGTATATGTGTGTGTGTGTGTGTGTGTACACACACACACATATATATATATATACACATATACACACACACACACACACACACACACACAGAGAGAGAGAGAGAGAATCCAATAAGGAAAATTTTTTAATCAGTCAATGGGAAAAAACTTATATAAGATCACCAAGCGCCTGCATCCGGCTTCTAGACCGCGTCATCGGTCCCAGCTGATCAGATTGCACTCTAAACGTATCCTTAACACCAGCACCCAGCCCTTTCCTGTTCCTACTTCGTACACTCCCATTCACTCCTCCATCACTAATTCTTGGGCTGAGTGGGATTCTCTCCCCCCTTCTTTGGGGGATAGCTGTTTCTATACTACCCTCTCCCACTTGTGCATAATTCTTTTCGCCGGGGGTCTTGGGGTGGGGGCCATTCAATCCTCTCTTGATCTCACCATATACCCCATTCGGACTCCAACCAATTCCCCCCGCCCCCTGGGGTTGTAACCTGGGCGTCTCTCTTCGTTCTTTGTCTTCTACTCTCCTATCCCTGTTTACGTGAGCAATCCCTGCACCCCAAGACCCCTGGCGAAAAGAACTATGCACAAGAGGGAGGGGGTAGTATAGAAACAGCTATCCCCCAAAGAAGGGGGGAGAGAATCCCACTCAGCCCAAGAATTAGTGATGGAGGAGTGAATGGGAGTGTACGAAGTAGGAACAGGAAAGGGCTGGGTGCTGGTGTTAAGGATACGTTTAGAGTGCAATCTGATCAGCTGGGACTGATGATGCGGTCTAGAAGCCGGATGCAGGCGCTTGGTGATCTTATATAAGTTTTTTCCCATTGACTGACTTTAACCCTGACGATGTCGGAAGTTTCCGATGAAAGCTTGGTTTTATTAAAAAATTTTCCTTATTGGATTCTCCTAATGATCGTAATTGATTTGTTTTGTGATATACCCAGGAGTCGAATTTTTACTGATATTATCAACCATATATATATATATATGTATGTATGTATGTATGTATGTATGTATGTATGTATGTATGTATGTATGTATGTATGTATATATGGTAAATAATAAAATGTGAACACCAGGAGATTGCAAAATCTTTAAAAGTTTTAATAAAACATTAAAGACCTTTAAAAGAATTTTAAAAAAGGACCTAGCTTTCGTTGGATCCTACCAACATCATCAGGGCACAAATAACTCAATGGGAGAAACCGTTTATAGCCCAGCCAGCGCCTGCGCCTGACCTCTAGACCTCGTAATGGGTCCCAGGTAGCCAATCGTTGTATCCATTGCCTCCTCACTTCTCTTACCTATCCTCACATCGACATTGGGGGTGTCTCTTACCTATAATCACATCGACGAGGTCTAGAGGTCGGGCGCAGGCGCTGGCTGGGCTATAAATGGTTTCTCCCATTGAATTATTTGTGCCCTAATGATGTTGGTAGGATCCAACGAAAGCTAGGTCCTTTTTTAAAATTCTTTTAAAGGTTTTTAATGTTTTATTAAAACTTTTAAAGATTTTGCAATCTCCTGGTGTTCACATTTTATTATTTACCATGGATATACCCAGGAGTCATTCATCTATTTTTAGTGTTATTTTTAAATATGTATATATGTATATATCAGCGGTTCTCAACCTATGGGTCACGACCCCATTTGGGGTTGATCGACCATTTCACGGGGGTCGCCAAGCAAGGCTGTCTGCCATTTTTTTTCCCTTTTCCGGCGGGTGCCTTACCTCCCTTGGGCTGGGCCAGCTGGTGGTCGGCCTGCTCCATCTCTGCCGCTTGCCAGCTATGCCTCGGCCGGCGCAGGGGGTGGAACCACGGATGCGCGGCGCTCCTGGGCAGGGAAAGTCCTTGACTTACGACCGGTTGGGTAGTCCTTGACTTACGACTGGTTTAGTCCTCGACTTACGACCGGTTTAGTCCTCGACTTACGACCGGTTGGGGGTCGCGGCATTAAAAAGGTTGAAAACCACTGGTATATATATATATACACATTCATACATATATATATATATATATATATATGTGTGTGTGTGTGTGTGTGTGTGTGCGTGCGTGTGTGTGTATGTGTGTGTGTGTGTGTGTGTATATATATATATATATATATATATACACACATATATATATATACACATTCATATACACATTCATACATACATACATACACACACACACACACATCTTTTCTTGGGGCAAGGCAAGCCTGTTAGATGGTTTAGCAAGATTGGACTGCCTGATTTCAGCATGAATGATCAAGCACGGAAGACCTGAAGTATATTTCATCATAATCCTTTCTTTTTCCTACTCTAATTAAATGAGCCTAGTACTTGTTTCTGGAGACCTTGCCTGGCCAATGCCCAAAGTGTCTTAGATGTTCTGCTAGGTCTGAATAAATCCTGTTGGCTTCTTCCATTTTACTCTTTTCTGGTTTTCGTGAAAACAGAAAGGGGATGCTATCTGTGGGATGCTGCAGTTTCTTTTCAGATTTACTATTTATCTTTATATCCATCTTGTGCTGTAGTGTTAGTGGTGTTAGATTTGTTTAAAAATAGACAACAGCAACAGTGGCACGATGAATGAAGTTTGTTGACTTCTTTCCCTGTTTGTTTTAAAGAGGCCTTTTCTCTACCATCTCCCAAGGGCACAGGAGGTTCATTGCCCTGAACTTATTGCAACTGCCTTTGCCTCCCTGTCATTTGTAGTTGGGTAAGCCTTACCCTTACCCAGATAAAAAAAATCACATAACAACTGCCCTCACTAGCTGCTCCTGAGAGCAGCCTTCCCTGTCTTTGTTTCCTTGTATCAGCTGCTTTGTTGGATTGTTTCTATTTCCTTTCTACATTGAACCTCTGTACAACTTCTATTATGCCGACAAATTAAAAGTAACAGGAACTTTGAATCTATCTTTAATCATCCTCATAGGTACCAGTGCATTGGTAACCAATATTTCTGTCTGTATCCATTTGATTTTTGCCCTTTATCTTTCTTATCTCAGACCTGTTAATGAAAAGGAGCTATAATTTTGAGTCTGCAGTTTATTCCCAAGTTTCTCCTCTGACATTTTAGAAAGTTATGGGGTAAAATGAAAAATCTCTGTAATGGCAGCTCTGAGCTTTATCAGTAATGATGGTAAGGTGTGAAATAAGCCCCTTTTCAGATCTTGTTCCTGAGGCTTTTTGCCTTCTATGGTGGTATTTACTTTTTCCTGTCTCCTGAATGAAGCTTGAAGGCACTCTCATACTTCTTTTGTAGTGTACATTGAAATCCAGTTGGCTTCCAAGTTGAATGAATATTGATCATTCAGAATGGGCTTAAGCAGGAGTAAACTGGTTGCAATTTCTGGTCTCATTTCATGTAGCTTGACGTTGAAAGACCTTTACAATCAATCAGTTCATTTTTCTAGAAAAAGCAATGCATCCTTGATCTGTCTTCTTTGTAAGGGGGAAAAGAGAGAGCAAATACATTGGAATAAGGAAAGATGGATAAAAGGGGGGGATTTCAGAAAGAATAAGCTCAATGTAATTTGCTCTGGCTAAATGGATCAGTTGTTTTAGCTCTGTCCATCTCAGCATGTGATGCAATCCTAGACTGATTACTTCTAGAGCAGTGTTTCTCAACCTTGGTGACTTTAAGATGCATGGACTTCAACTCCCAGAATTCCCCGCTGTGCTTTGCTGGCTGGGGAATTCTGGGAGTTGAAGTCCACACATCTTAAAGTTGCCAAGGTTGAGAAACACTGTTCTAGAGGAACATGGCCTTCCACAGAAATAAATAAAGAAAAAAAATTGTTGCCTACCTCTGTGTTATGATGGTCAAGAAACCACAAGAAACAGAATTTCATAAGGGGACAGGAGCAAAGTCTCAGATACATATATTGCAGTCTTTATGTGTGAATTGATAGTGTTAGTTAGTAATGAATAGTGCCAGAGTGTGTTTTCTTAAATAAAACATGTATCTCTTTACTATTGGTCCCTTCAGTCATGCTGTTCCATAGTCTTTGTTAACTTTTCCTGAACTGAAATTGAAGAGTGCTACTTTGCAGATCTAGTGCATTTCATTCAGTTCTCAACTAAAATTTTGTATTATGCATTTGAATACTTAAAGCTTTTAGAGCAGGGGTGTCAAACTGCCGGCCCATGGGCCGGTTTCATCATACCGGAGCCGTGCCCACCCCATTGCCGGCAATGGCAAAAAAGCTCCGATATGTTGCGCGACGTCATGTGACATCACGAGTTTGACATGTCTGTTTTAGAGCTATAGTCTTCCAGCATTTCATCACAGCAGACAAATAGGGAAGAGATGAATAAAATTATTCATGGTATGGAAAAATCTGATTTATCCAATGCAGGTGAGTAATTGTAGGTTCTGGAGACATCAAAAGGAGTAATATTAGAGTGTATGTTTAAATGAAGATACGGATGAGTTTATCCTGGGTGTGGGAGAATTCCTTCTCATAATCTGATTGGGCAATAAAGGGCCAAAAAAAACCTTGATCAGGTAACTCAAAGCTCTGAGGTTCCAATTTAGTGAATTCTGCAGCTCTTCATACAGATCTCTCTATGTTATCAATGCTTTATTTCTACCCCCCAATTAATTCTTATGCTGAATGAAACAAGTGCAACCATGAATTCCATTTCATACTCTAAGGTGCAAGAAGAATCCAGTAATGTGATAAAGCAAAGTTTAGCATAGTAATGGTGAGTCAGCAAGTGTATGGTTGAAATAGTAAGACCTAGCTATGCAGAGATCTCTTTCCCATAGGAACAAACACCTGTGTTGCCTGGAATGTGTATAGAATATTTGATTCCACTTAAGAGTAGCAAGATGTAACTTATCTTCAAGCCTCTTGCTCCATGAGAGATTCCATTTTTCTGCTGCACTATCCACTGTATGGGAAATACTTAAATATTCTATATATTGTCAGAACAAATCATCTGATTAAATACCTTGTTTTAAAGCAAGGTA